ACTGGGCTGACGGTTCACCTTCAAACAAGACAATGACCCTAAGCACACAGCTAAAATAACGAAGGAGTGGCTTCTGTCAGTTTGGCTCGGCCGCTGTGGCCTCCCTCACTCTTCCTACTGTCTCTTGCCCATTACATTATCACATTCACCTGTTCCCCACTCCCTTATCACCAGCTGCACTTGATTAGGTTACTCACTATATTACCCGGTTTCACTCCTCAGTCACTTGCCAGTTCATTCTAGTCTCTAGGCCAATTTTTTTCCGTGCTTTTTTCGCTGTTTTGTATGTCTTTATCCCCTAGCCAGCTACTGTTTTGTGTTTCCCCAATGGACTGTTCCTCCGGACCGTGGCTCCAGTCTATCACAGGGCTGAGATGTAGACAGACAACATGCAAACATGAAAAGCATGTAAAATATATCCACAAAACTGTGCAGTCGAAAAATTCCGCTTTTACAATGGCACTGGCAGATGTCAGGCAATCTCACATGAACACACAACTGACTGGAGATTATGACCATTCAAGGAAATCCTTAAAACTATCACGTAATACTTTATATTGTTAAAAAAAAGTCTCACGAGCAAGAGTTTGTGAGGCGCGTATAAACCGAGTTGGTTCTCCATAGAAATACTACTACTCATTTTGGCTGGATGGCCAGATTTGTGAAGACCATTGATGGATCAACATCTCTGCCATTTGAGAATGATGGAGGCTACTGTGCTCTTGGGCACTTTCAATGCTGCAGAAATTTTCGTGTATCCTTCCCGACATCTGTCTTGATACAATCCTGTCTTGCAGGTCTGTGGACAGTTCTCTCGAACTCATGGCTTTGTTTTCACTCTGCCATACACCATCAAATATGAGACCTTTTATAGACAGGTGTGTGCCTTACCTGATTATATCCAGTACATTAAATAGTAGTAGATATAGTAGATATAGGTGCACTCTAATCAAGCTGTAGAATTACCACTGATAGGAGTAGAATGCACCAGAGCTTGATTGCGCTTCGTTGTCCTAAGGCTCCGACCTGTGTCCGCCTCTTTCTCATTTGCTCACTGACTGGTGCGAACGGTACCTAACAGCTTCACAACAACTCCGTGACTGTTCTTGAATAGCCCAGCCAGAGCCCTGACTTAAACCCAATTGAGCATCTCTGATGAGACCTGAAAATGGCTGTCCAGCAATGTTTACCATCCAACCTGACAGAACTGGAGAGGATCTGCAAGGAGGAATGGCAGAGGATCCCCAAATGCAGGTGTGAAAAACTTGTTGCATCATTCCCAAAAAGACTCATGGCTGTATTAGCTCAAAAGGGTGCTTCTACTAAATACTGAGCAAAGGGTCTGAATACTTATGACCATGTGATATTTCAGTTTTTCTTTTTTAATAAATCTGCAAAAATGTCAAAAATTCTGTTTTTCTGTCAATATGGGGTGCTGTGTGTACATTAATGAGGAAAAAAATGAACGTAAATGATTTTAGCATATGGCTGCAATATAACAAAGAGTGAAAAATTTAAGGGGGTCTGAATACTTTCCGTACCCACTGTATGTCTGATCAGAGGTCAGATGTTACATGGCCATGGAGCAAGAAGCACCCATTTTTAGTATTCTCATTAAAAATGTATGTTTTGATCATCAAATAGGATGAGCCTTCAGGCTGGGAGGATTCATGGAAACTGTCTGAAGCAGAACCTGAATCAAAACAGACTACAAATGACAGGACACTAACGCCAGCCTCCTCCAGCACCAACACCACAGTGATGATAAAGATAAATGATGTGTTCCAGCCTGGCTGGATTGACTCCTGGCTGCTCTCTGCTGCTCCTGTAGGAGAAGGCCAAGAACATCAGAGGAACTGGAGCTCCTGCTGGGGATTCAGGCAGCAGACCAGGTGGGTTTCGGCTGCGTTTCTAATGCCTAATGCCAAACAGGGAAAGTACTGTTTATCATAAAATGTATATATGCCTAGGTATGGTACAGTACTTTCTGTGGCACTCAGCTCTGAGCCCACTGTATACACACTGTATAGTTCAATCATCATACAGTGAAGCACTATTATCTGACCATGTACAGTCACACAGGGCACTGTCAAAAGAAAGTCTCCCAGACCTTAGATCAATAGTACTTGTCTCCATCCGTTATCACCAAACTTAACAGTATACTTTAAAGACTTTCTAAAGCCACAAGTCATCTTGCAAAGTTTCAGTTCATAAAGAAGACATGTCAGCCTAATATCCATATTTGTCAGAGCATACATACTTACGTTTAATTACTGTATTGTTTTTATTAATATTTTTACTGTGTAGCACAAAAGGTCAGTGTTGTTTCAGATGTATTAATTCTGTCCTTGAAATGCTGCATCACAAATCTGCACTTCTTGCACAGAATGTCACAGATTACATTTTTTTTATATCTATATTTGTTACAATAATTAAAATTTTCCAAATTTACAAATGTATGTTATTTGCAAGAAATGAATTCCCTGACATGTTGGTGATGTACTCTATTTACAGTATACTGAAAAACTGATAATTGAAGTGCTGAAGTGCTTTGTTGAGAAGTTAACACAATACAAATAGATTTAAACTTAAGAGATCAGATTTAAACTGCTAAAAGTTTTTTTTAATTAGATAATAACACATCACGTGATATTTTTTAAAACATGAACATATACATTTCTGATGCCTTAGACGTAGTTTTTAAATACATGAAAATCTGTTATTGGTGCCACCTGATGGGCAAACTATTTAATGGAGACTGTTTCAAAACTACAGTACATCAAACATGTAGTTTTTATTTAATATTTGCATGCTGCACTTGTTTTGTTGGATCTATGATCCATCCATCCATCCATTTTCCCCTGCTTATCCGAGACCGGGTCGCAAGGACAGCAGTCTAAGCAAAGATGCCCAGACTTCCCTG